ATTGCTTACACTGAAAAATTATGAAATCCTGTAATTATTTTCTTTTATAGAATAAGTGACAAATACACATTTATTTGAAAATGTCCCACCGCTATGTATGAAATAAATTCATAAAGTGCTACACATTGGATTAAAGTAAATAATGTCTCACAGTCATAGCATGGGGGGACAACTCTACACTATTTAAGGTCGTGACTTTAATGTAGTGTAAAGGCTTTTTTCCTTTTTCTCCTTTCTTTTTCCCCTCCACTTTTATGAATGGAGAATGCTGCTGCCTGAAAGCTGTCTGGGAATTCAGCCAAAGAAAGAAGAGGTTTGCAAAAACTCTGGGGACTTGAAAGAAAAGTGGCTAGCATTAGCTTGGTCCTCACTTTAGACTAAAATTAAAACAATAGACAGACATGTACAGTAATCTCTTTTTTAAGAAAAGAATAGAATGCCTCTATAGTAGTGTCAAGTGGAACAATTTGGTTCTGGCCCAAGTTATGCAGCTGTTGCACAGGAAAATGGCAAGAGGCTTCGGTCCAAGTCAGGCAAATAAGGCATGATTATTCATAAACAGTCACTGGGGCTTTCACATTTAGAACAAGGAAAACATTAGCATTCAAGAGGGCAGGTTACGTACAGGATTCTCAGGGAAACCTGAGTCACACCATCATTTTGTGATTTGGACAATAGTTAGTGGTGTCATTATATTTACTAACAATAGCTAAAAGTAATGAATAACATTCATTATGAAATCATATGCCTATGAAACACTTTCTAAAGAACAATAAAGGTTCTGTCTTGGGTCAAAGATATTAGCTAAATCCACAGCAAGATAAAGGAATCATGTCTTCATTATACATTTCTGAATTTCACTTGCTCATTAGAGGTGGATCAGGTAAAGATAATGTAGATTAGGTGCTGGGGGAAACAACTGGACACCGAGCTGCAGTGCTGCTTCTCGGCTGTGCCAAAACAAAATGGGGAATCAGGTGCAATAGCTGCAAAGTAATGGAGCAGAACGCAGGCCGTGATTACCAGAGTGAAATAGGCCATTCTACCCTGCCTGTTGTATACACGTGATCCCAAAGAATTCACTTCTTCTCCCACTGTTTTGATCCTATTTTAAGATATGGGCACTCACCCTATTTTTTAAAATTATGTTTCATTTTAAGATTTCTTTTTAAAACTTGTTGTCACCTCCCTACCACTCTTCCTGACTCATTTTCTGAATAACCAGGTCTTTCCACTGGTTATTTTTTCCTTCTGTGCTATCTACAAACTCCCCAATTCATACATTTCAATTTGCCTTCTGGTCTCCTCGCTCTAGTAAGACTAATTTCTTCATTATCCGTAAGATTTCCTTCCGGGGGAATCCAGTGATTTCTTTTCAGTCTTTTCCTGTTATTTGTCTTATCTGCCTCATCTGGCACTGTTGGAAATATAATATAAACTAGAATGGCTGCAAGTTAAACTGTCTTTAAAGAGGTTAATGGCCTCATCTATTGAAAATGATAGTTACTCTGAAAAAGGAGAATTGATTCAAGATTAAGAAAGAATAAAAGCAAAGCAGTTGTGTAAATGAAGGAAGGAATCAAAGAATTTGACTATACATTTGTCAAAGGCCTGATAGTCTGGAGGCAAAGAACACGAAAGTAGAAAGCTGAAAATAGAAATACAATAGAAGGAATTATGTTAGCAGACATTATTCGTAGACAATAACATGTAGATTATGACATTAGGCCTATAAAGATAAAAGCAGAATATCATTATTTTTAGTCTTTAAAGATTATACAAGTTATCTGTTTAACAATGAGACATTAGTTATATATTTTACATGAATCTAAGCTCATGTTAGAAATCATCAGTTGAATAGGACTCTGGAAAGTGTTTAGAACGACTCTAAATACAGAGGAAAACATGATAAAGATGGCAGCTGTGAGAAACGTCATGAGATGAGCAATTCCTTCCTTCGCATCCCAGGCTTCAACTTCAGTCCTGAAAAGTGCTTTGAGCCTCTTAAGTTTTCAATAGTGAGTTTGCCCAACGTAAGGGACAGTGTAGACTCTGCAAGTGAAGTAGCAGCAATAACTGAAATAATGTAGACAGGCATGGTGGCCCATGCCTGTAATCCCAGCACTCGGGAGGCTGAGGCAGGAGGATCATTGAAAGTTGGAGATCAGCCTGGGCTACAAAGTGAGCTCAAGGCCAGCCTGAACTGCATAGCGACATCCTCTCTCAAAAAGAAAAAAAAAAAAAAAAAAAAAAATAGAAAGAAATAATGTATACTACGGACAATACTAAACTTAGAGGAAATCCTGGCTCACAATTCTTAAATCCATGTGAACAAGAGAATTTGCCTTATAATTTTTGAGGTTTAGTTTTATCTTCTGTGAAATGGGGAGTCTTTCTAATTCACTTTTCTATTTGCAAAGTGATATTCATCCAGATCCTCTCAGAAAGCTGACACTTTCTATTTCTTAAACTTCCTGAGCCTTTGTATTCTTGAATAAAATAAACAAAAGTTTGTTACTTTGTTTTCATCTGCAATGATAACTTCATTATACATTGAAATTTACCTATAGGTAACTGAAACTCAGAGATTTACAATAAGTCACATCTCTTCATAGTATTGAAGCAAATACGATGGACTCTATAAATTAATAATATCTTAAACCTAACAGTCTATTCTCATATGTCAAATAATGTGCTCAGGATATGCATGCTATCAAAAAACAGACCACTGACAATTTGATGCTTTTTCATCAGGTATGCATTGAATTCTAGGCATTTTCTTATATATTCCATAATTACATCAGTTATATTTCACATATATTCCAAATGTGCCTGTATATACTTTTAAATAAACCCAAAGGAGAAAAGAATACAGACAAAACCATTCACTATGTTATGATCCTGATCATGTTCCTTTCTGTACCTTCACACTGACTCCTGTGATTGTAAGGAGGAACGGAGGGACGAAAGAAGAAAGAAAAAAATAGCTGGACAATACAAGCAAAAAGAAGCAAGTGTTAAGATGGAAGAAGCATTTTGAAAGTAGGTTTTGATATTAGACACACAGAATCAGAAGGTAGGATTTAAATCTGTCCAAATCCAATTAAGAGCTCATTACATTGCTTTCCCTAAAGTATTGAATTCATAGTGAAAGCTCTTCTTGAAACTCTAATACTGCAATGTCCCGTCACATATAAATAGCACATTGTTGTGGAAAAAATGTTTTTTCCTCTCACAAGCAATTTAAGTTGCACGGTCGGTAAGTACTGTGGAAGTGAATTGAGTGGCTCTATACCAGGGGTGATCAAAATAATCTGTGAATATGTAAGTTAAATAAATTATTACAGTACAGATATGTTATATTGCCATTAACGCCCCTTCAAATACTCTGCAGCATTTTGAACACAATTATCCCATGTTCTTGCCATTTTCTAAAGTAGTTCTCTAAGTCCACTTTTGGGTGTGTCCTTATAGTATGGTGCAAAGGTTCTTGGTGAATGATTCTGCTGAGAGTCATCCAGCAGAAAGGCAGGCTGGTAAAAACATTAGCATACCTGCTCACCTACCTTATTCACTGGATGTGGCACCGTGAAATTTCTGGCTCTTCTCCAAAGTAAAAACAAAAGTAACTGTTCTGAACATATCCAGGAAATCAGGACAGCCATGCCAGCCCAACTAAATACAAGAAATCCGACTTCTAGAACCTCTTCAAGAAGTGACAAGAACAAAGGAACACATGTGTTCCAAATTCGTGGTTGACATTTTGAGGTAGATTAATGCCAATGAGTCTTTCACTGTAATTTTTAAAACATTTTTAAATGCATCATATTTTTCAATCACACCTCATAAAATAAAGTTACTATGAAAATGTGATCTTTCTGAATTCTAAAATAACTTGAAATATACTTAGAAATGGGATAATGATAGGTTAATCTATAAATTGCTCCTTAAAGCAGGTTATCCTCTGGAGAACAATGATTAGAAGAGAGAATAATTTTAAAATTATTCTTTGAAGAAGATGTGAAATGTGGTAGAAAATAGAATGGTATACAATGGAAGAAGTTAAAATATGAGACCATTTTCTGATATGTAATTCATTTAGATGAAAGTCCTCATGAGATTGTACGACAGACACCTAACCTTAAATAACTAAAATATTATTGGAACTAAACTTAGTAATTTAACTTGATTTGCACCATAGCTATTGTTTTTCTTATCTACAGAGTATAATTAAATTAATCTAATCAAAATTTAAGTAAAATGTAAATAAATTTGAAGCTTTTAAATATCAAGTAAATTACCTATAGAAAAGAGCTATTATATTAATCACATTGCTTCCAAATAATTGATATTTGAAAAAATCTATTTAAATTTTACCTTAAACATAGGTAACTTATGAGATAATGTTTTATAAACATGAATGACAAAGTATAGTTTTATACTTCAGGTGGCAGCAGCATCAGTACATTTTAGAAATGAAATTATTTTATACCCGAACACATTAAGCATATGAACCTTTTTACTCACATTATTTCCAAGCATATAGTATTCACAAATTAAGACTCCTTGAAGAATAAATTTGAAATATATGCTTTTTTCTTATTATGAAAATGATTCCCTATATAAAATTTGGGCATTTTGGAGGATGCTTTATTATTTTCAATTTTTATGGAAGAGCTAAATTCACCAATGTGTAGTTTTTATTGGTCTGCTAATATAAATAGTGACTCATTAAGCCAACAGTCATCTAGGTTGAAATATCTTACTATAACAGTAAGAAAGTCATAGCTGGAAACCTTCCCAGAAGCATCGCTAGATGACAGAGGAAACACAGTCTACCCCAGACACTTAATGAAGATATGGTTCAGGGAATTTTCTGTCTTAGAAATCATTTTGCCCATTAAGAAAAGAGAAAAGCAGGGGACTTCTACAATTAAAACGCACAACCAAAGCATGAAGAAGACAAAGTGAAAAATTTTATTGCTCATTAAATGACTTACAGTGGTTTTCCTTTAGATTCACAAGTCAAAATTAAAGGCTGTCCTTCTTGTGGAAAAGGAGTGGATGGTATAATCTTAACTGAAGGTGTATCTAGAGAAAAAAAGAATATTAGAAAAATCATTAATTACACACTCATGATGTATCAATATTTGTGTATCATTTGTATGTTTGTCATTTCTTATATTGCTTACAACTGTATATCTTTACAAGGGATTTCTTAGCTCTAATGGAACACAGTACGCAATGTTAAGAAGCTACCAATCTGTTCAGACAAATCTAAGGAAAATATTTGAATATCATATGAGCATGACTAAAATCTGAATTTAAAAGTGAAATTGCAAAATGTGGTTCAAATGAATATCAAGTATTTCATACAATTGTTTCTTCAACTATTTATAGATGGCTATGAATACTATTATTATGTCCTGAATGCATATGTGCATTTGAATAACAACAACTTCATTGTCACAAGAATAGGGGGACTCACAATAAGGAACCCAAAATGAACTCAAGATAACTATTGTCTCAGAAGCATGATGCAGACTCTTTTTGAAAATGCAGTAATGCAGTATTGAGCTCATGCTGCTTGCTTTTAAAGTACAATTGGCAAATCACTTCAGATAGGTACTTTTAATATTACTGAAATTTAACACTTTTCTTTGTGACCCACAACATAATTGTTGGAAAATTATTTATTTCCAGTTAATAAAATCATCCCTAGTGGAAAAGGATTTAAAATACTACAAGGCATTTATATTTCAAACTTGCGTGCCAGGTAATATTCTTTAAGAACAAAAGTTCATATTTCATAGGAAAAATGGAAAATTAGATAAAAACCTAGGATGCTAATATTTATATTTCCTGTGTGTGTGTGTGTGTGTATGTGTGTGTTACATGTGGTGCTGGGGATGGAACTCAGTACCTCCTACATACAAGGCCAGTGCTCTACCATTGAGTTACATGCACCTCCTACACATGTATATCTTCCTAGGTCTTTGCTAGGCTTCCCCCGTGACCCTTGCATACTGGCGGTCATTGTGCAGGTGCCTTGCCTTCTCATCTCCGTATTTTCTATAACAAACAAAACAGGTTGGGTCTGTTCATCTAGTCACAGTTACGGTCCCACTTTCTTTAGTTTTAACATAACAATGGAACTGCTCTGCCATCATATGCACTCTCTGATACTGAAGTCATTTAAATAAGTATCAATGAATTATTTAATTTTCAGGTTATTTTTACAGAAGTAAGATTTATATTTTTCATATATAGAATAATAAATGATAATCCTTTAAAATATCTTAGGTCATATTTTTAAATTAATGCTTCCTATTCATCCTTTCTTGATTCTCAAAGCAAGAAACCAGATTTAAAACAATCAAAAATATTATTTTGCTTACACAGAGGCATTCAATATATATTATAGAAAGAAATTATAGTATGAATAACCCAGGAAAAATTTTATTTCATGCAATACATGTTTCTTATTGTCTAGCAAAAGTGAACTGTTGCATTACCTAAAATACTTTTATTAAATTTTCATTTATTAGCAAGACATTTATGGAACCATTTATTGAGTAGATTATTACACAATTAAGTCTCCAAGCAGGGCATTTGTTAGAAGTGAAAGGAGCAATAATAATTTTATGCGGTAGTAACTGTGAACCAGAACTCTTCTAGTCAAACTGAAGCCTACAGTCTTCTAAACTTTAACCAAATTACATATAGTGAAATTGACTTTACCCTGTTTTATTATGAAAGAAGGGTCTATTTACAGGAATAAGTTGGAAGAAAATTGATGGAGAACACTAGGAAGTGGCTCTAAGCAGGACTTAAAATTAACCAATTGTCTTTTTATGTTTACTTGTGAGTCTGTCCAAGGCCTAGGCCACTTGTCTGGAGATGGGCAGTGGGCTCATAGTAAGTGAACCTTTATGAATCACTGGTCCTGGCTGAGGCCTGCAGTGGCCAGTGAAGCCATGACGCCTCAAAGGACACGATAAGACCACAGCTGAGGATCTCTGGCTCCAATCACAATTAGCTAAAAGGAGACTGCTGCTGCAGGCCCCACACGCCTACAATAAATGCCAATTTAGAGACAAGGTAGTTCTCCTGATTGACATAATATATTACTTGGAAAAATCCCTGAACTGAATCCCAAGGTTCTGTTCAGATTCCTGTGCTTTCCTCGATATCCCCTCCTTTACTTGAAAACCAATTAAGTACAGGCCACCCAGAGTTCTTTTTCTTGGCCTCCAGACAATCTTGAATTCTGTTAGAGGGTTTTGAATCTCCTGGAGCCCTAAAATCATACCACTTATCTCTTTTATTTATCTGCTCTAATTAGAAGACAACTCTTCCTGTGTGGTGGCCTTTGAACCAGGACAACTGTGTCTTTAATGCCTTTGGACTTGCTATGCTTTGGATCTAGAGTATTTCCCAAATGTCCATGTGTTAAAAGCTTGGTAGCTACCCTTGGAACTATTGGGTGGTGGTAGGAATTTTAGCAGGTATAGCCTAATCGAAGATTTAGGTCATTGGAGTGTGCCTCAAAGGGGAAGCTGAGACCTGTACCCTTCCCCTCATTTTCTTTGCTTCTTTGCCACCATGAAATGAACAGGCCTTCTCCTCCATATGCTCTGCAGCCACATCAAGACCTAAACCATAGGGCCAACCCACTATGGACAGAGCACTAAAACTGTGAACCAAGCAGATATTTTCCCATATGAAACTCACTATTTTAGGTACATTTTTACAGTGAAAGCTAATCATCAGGTCTAGAATGGAAATATCGGGTTTTCCTGGATCTTCAGTTGGCAGACCTAAGGACTGTCACCTAAATGACAATTCTTTATTCTTGGGTCATCAGAATCAGTATGGTACCAAACCAGTCACACCTTAATTTTCTGACCTGCTGATTCACCCTGTATTGCACGTCAGCCTCCATAATGTGAAAAACTCCTTACAATGAATCAAGGATGGAAGGAGGTTTATGGAATGGGGAAGTAAAAACAAGATGAGCTATGTACATTTCCCAACTCTCCATGACAAATGTAACCGTCGGGTACTGCAAACATATGTACTAATAAAAATATAAAAAATCATGTACATGTATAGATACATAGATCAAAATTCATATTTTTTTCTCACTGAAAAGTTCTGGTACAATGACTCTGAGGCATGTCTTTTATTTGGAGGGCCGTGGCATGTCCGTAGGACTAGGATATGAGATAAGAAGAAAATAAGTTAAATAAAACAAACAGACCTGTGTGACTGAGCAGATTATATTTTGGGCAACTCAAGTTTAATGGTGTTATGAAATTTTGACTAGATGTGCAGATCATACATCTCAGAGTTATCTAATTTGATAGGCAAGGGACAGGAGTATTTATGGAACGTTTACAAATTCTTATAGGGGTTTGGTTAAGTACTGCTCCTGGATTAAAGTAGGGAGGTTTTATTTCTCTGGAAGTCCTGTCGTATTCAGAATAAAGGAATGATGTATACTGAAAAGATATGGCAGGTTTTCACACCTCTCAGTGAGGTAAATGACATAGTGGTAGAGAGTGTTGGAGTTCCTTGCCACACCCAAAGGGTCAGTGTCAGCTCTGGCTGCCCGAGTAGGTGGAAGACTGCTAATTCTGAGAGCCAGAATGTCGTGAAGACAGGATGTTTTGCCAAATTGCGCAGAGATGGACATTAAAGGGAAATCAAGGAAGCTCTCGAGGAGACAATCACACAAAAGTTAATTATTCAGGCAAGGGTGCCCTGCTTGCCTGCCTTGCTACCTACAATAAACATCTGCACTTAGCAGAACTCTTTGCTTTATTGTTATTCTTCAGTAAATCTGGTGGACTGAGGCATTTTGGAGCTCCGCTTCATTCTGGTGAAGCCCCCTGGTCCCTCAAGAAGGTATTCTCTGCTCTCTCACAGCATTTGTCTCTCCAACAGGGTTTGCTGCCCTGAAGCCTGCAGTGTTGTTAACAAACTAGCAGACATAATACGGTGTGATTCTCATAGCTCTGTCAATTTAGTGTAAGTAGTGTATTGGAGGTGGAAATTTGCAAAATAAAAATGATCACTTGAAAGATGATTAAGCCTTTCTTTAGATTTGCCATAGGACTTATAATAGAAGCAAATGTCAAAACAAGATAATGTACTTGCCGTATATTTCTATGAAACTCTTGAAAATATCCCAAATAAAGCCTAAGTGACCCAAAGTCTAGATGCATAGTATAACATTCACATATTTGCAGAATTATTAAAAAATATTGAGTAGATACTCTTTATACAAGTTATTTTTCCACATATACAAAAGAACAAGAAAATAAGCAAATGTAACAGTTAAATATAACTATCTTAACATTTAAACCATTCAAGATTTAAAAATAACTACTTTAAGATTCTTTGCCAAACCCTCCCCCCCTCTACACAGCCCCATACACAAAGAGACCTACACACATAAACTTGCAAACACACTCTTCATTTACCTCAGGTTCCTGGTTATTCTGTCCTATAATCTATCAGGTTGTTGCTATTTATTTAGCATTGTAAAATGTGAGATCATACACAAGAGGGTTCAGAATATACTCTCATGTAATTTTCTCTTCAGCGTTTCAGACACTTGCATATGTACTTACTTATCACTAACTGATATGGTTTGTACCTGTATGTCCTCCGAAAGACTCATGCTGTCATAGCTAGGGAGTTTTGAAGTTGGCAGGATTGGGGTATGTGATGGGGGGATTAAGGGTATGATCCTGAGATTAAGGGTGCCCACGGCTGGGTATGGATGGCAGAAGGTGGGTAGCCTGCAAGGCATATAGACACAGAAAGAAGCTCTCTGCTACTTGCTGCTTTGCTGTGCTTTGCCTGCCCTGAGCTGTTTCTTCTCTGTGATACCCCTTTGCCAGGCCACCCTATCCTGGAGCCCACTGACTATGGACTCAAACCTCTGCAAACTGTGAGCTACACTAAACCTTTTCTCCTTTAACTCTGGGTGTCATATATTTTGTATCAGCAATGAGAAAAATAACTAAGATATTAACGAATTAATATAAGAGAGCAAAATGTACTACAAGCTAAGGACAGTT